ACTTTAAATTTTATAAATGAATAAGGCTGTATTTTTTATGAATTATCACGTTAAATTTTTATAATCGGTTAATGAGATATTCCTGCTCAAAGTTGGGTGGTTTTGTCAGGTGGTTATTGTGTGGTATTGTGTTATACCTCGTCGTAGATACCGCAGCTATTAAGATTTGTATGTTCCAGGACAGCTGTTAGGTTTTCATATACTTGAGCAAATATTAACAATTTCTTAAGTCATGTGGAGTTTTATAAAAACAAATAGACTGATCTCTGATCTGACATTGCTGTATATTATCTTGTTTAAATTAAATATCTAAACAATTTATATTTTATATCATTATTCATTATCAGGGAGGAGGCAAATTCTTACAGTACCACAAAAATGTTTCGAATTTTTTTCCATTTTTATTAAAATGTATTAAAAGGTATGTATTAACAAATTAACACAAAATGTATTTATTTATTTATTTATTTGATAAAATTGTTATACTGTTATAATTATAAATTTAAATGTAAAATGTTATGTACATTTTTTATAAATTTTTTAAATTTATTTTATAATGGTCAGCCCTTCGGAATTATAGTATTCCAGTATTCGTGAATTCATATTGAAATTCCCTTATTCTCAGGTCTCCTATGAATTTGTTTCTTTGAAGTATGATTTTTTATAAAAAATCCCTTTTCGTTAGTCGTTTTTTTTATAATTTATTTTAACACAGGTTGAGTTTGAATTTCTCGTAATTTGTTAATAACAGAATATTATGTTAAATTATTATATTGTGCGGAATTTAGATGAGTTTTGAAAATTATATTAAATATGTGTACTTACACGGATAATGTTTAGTAAGGGTTTTTATTTTTAGTTATTTAATTATTACTTTTTTGTATGTAAATTTCATAAGTTCCTACTATTTTGAGGCCAAAATTAGTTAGTAACTACCCATAGCGTTCAATGTCACAGAATTATCATTGTTATTAGTTAAATGTTTGATTCTTTTAAGTTGATATTGTATTGATTAATGATTATTATGATTAGTTATACTATAGAAGTAGTTCTATTATGATATTATCAAAGGTTGAGTATGAAAATAATTATCTTAAGTTAAGAGAACTCACTATCGATAAGTTATAGAAATTAACATGAACCAAATCATTCATTGAAAGCAATAAGAAAGTTGTATGGTATAAATTTTAACTTAAGTCAGTTTAATAAAAGGTATATAATTGGTATTATCACATAATTGACTTTTTTTTTATGTTATCGAGGACTGAGGGAGGAACTATGGTGCCAGTACTTCTCTTATCACATAATTGACTGCGTTCTTTTTAATTTCCTAAATTATAATAAACAATTTTATTGAAAGATCTGTGAAGCGAATACATTTATTTTACTTTACACTATTATCAAATATTTAAACTATAAGCAATTCACATCCCAATTTATTAATAATTTAACAAATATTAATTGTTTTGTATCAAATAGCAATTGAATGTCATATAATATTATGTCTATCTAATCTACTAAAATAAATCCATATAAAATATTATTTTATCAAGAAAAATAACAGAAATGTTTTTACCATGTTTCTCAAAACTTTTGCCTACAGTATTGGATTATTTTAATTTTTATATTTATTAATAATATGTAATATGTTATTATGTTAGTATAATGCTGTATAATAACTTCTAACTGCTAATGAATTAGTAGCACATAACAATTAGTAATCTACTTTCGTAGTGACTATTAACCCGATTGCGTCTTAGATTAAGTGACTAATGAGTATAAAATAAAATGTGTGAAAATTATTTCGTGTGGTGCCTATTATATTGAAACATCAACCTCAAAATAAAACCTCTCTTGTTCACCGCTAGACTGCGTTAAATATACCGTTTTAAGGAACATTGAACATGTAACACAAGCTTCCTTTATATTATTATTTATGTATCTACATTATGTTTATTATTTTAATTAAAAAAAATTGGCAGTCAAATTATAATACAAATTGAATAGTACCAAATAAGCTAACAAAGTAAATTAATTATAAGTACATGCATGCAGTATTATATGAATTGAGAGTGTTACAACATTTCCTACGATTCTACAATTGTTGGGGTTTCCGACAACCACTCACGAATTTGTTGAGGAATGAGAATTAGAGTGGAGAAGGATTACTCAAAACCATAGGCGTGCGCAGCCTCCGGTTTCAGGGGCAGCAAGAGATTGATTCGGCCCATTCTTCAAATTCACCATAAATTCCGGCCGATAACTTTACTTTTTTTAATATCGGGTATCAATATTAAAATTGTATTGGCTATTTATTTTTGTATAAAAAGTTTTACAGTAAGACCTAATCCCATTAAAGGTGTTCTTTTCCACTTAATTGTTAATATTTATTATTTATAATATAATAAAATAAACAAACATTAATAACAATACAAAATATATACTTTTAAAATAATTACACAGAATCTGTAGGTACAAAACTGAATGTGTTTATTAATTTTTTTTAAATAATAATAATTAAAATCATAATATAATTGGTAAGAATATGGTACATAATTAAAGTTGTAAATAAAACAATAGTAGCTTTTATTAATATTCATAGACTTTTTTGATTTGAAATCATGACTATTTTTTTTTATAGTAGACTACAGGTCTATTAGTTTTATACTAGTAAATTCTTTAATCAAAAAATATTTATCTATACTCAACCGAAACAATAAAATATAACTTTTTTTATCTACAATGGTCATTATTTGTAGAAATATAATTTTAGCGTGGTTTATTATTCAATATTTGCCGGCCGTGGCAGCCCCAAAGAAAATCCTGGGGCAGCATATGCTGCCTCTGCTACCGCCGTGCTCGCACGTCGCACCTATGCACAAAACCATTTAAATTGTAAACGTTGATATAATGACGTACACAATGATATTTTATCGTTGTACATGTGTTCCAAACATTATATTACGATAATGACATTACTCAAAACCAAACAATAATCTTAATAAGAACTAAATACTACGGCGACGACTTCATATAAAATACAATTTGGTGTGCTCCACTGAACAAGAGGAGAACTTTATATAAATTATATGACCTTGACCACGGCAATAGCCACTAGTCACTAGTGAGTAGTGGTGGTACCTCGCTGGAACGGCGACAGCGGACAGGCGTCTTCTTGTTTATCTCGGACTTCGGTCTACGAGAGGAAACCACTGCGGCTGCTCGATGAGTGGATACCGCGAGTATATACCAGTATACCACACAAGTCGGCGGCACTTCCCGGAACACCACGACGGAAACTAAAACCGGCAAAACCTGATGGCCCGCGCAATAATTGATGAGTAGGTATTTTGACAAATTGGGTACGTCGGCTGATCACAACAATGACAAATACGATATTATCACATATCGTGATCACACGAAGTATTGCGGAGGCACTCACGCGGTGAACGTACGCGACGCTGCGTTGTGGTCAACCTCGAGCAGCAACCTCACAGCAACGAAAAAAACACAAGTCTCGGGATCACACGAGATTTTCACGGCGGCACGCACAATTAAACAACCGAGCCGGCGGCAAGACCACCGGTGAACTCGATGGCTCGCTATGAGGAATAGCGAGCGTTCATTGAAGTTTCTACGCCCGGCGCGCAGTTTGAAGGAGTCTTAATGATAAGTGCTGGCAGCAAAAATGCAAAAGTGTTCCGTGTTCGAAAGCGTTATTGCTTTACCTGATCTTGCTCGTATACCCGTTGCTGCATGTCATAGTTTTCACCGTTGATCATATCATCTTGCTCCGTTGACAGTATTGCCTGCTGAAAAGCAGGTAGTTGCGGCCTAACGAGAACATGTCTCGATCGCCGTACGGCGTCCTGGTCTGACAGTTCACTGCAAATCTTGTTGTTGTCTTTCGTGCACACCACCTTGCAACAAACTTGGACATTGGTACAATTTCGATTGGGTAAAGATCAATTTCTGGAACATAATTTTTACTTGATGCAGTTTCCATTTCCCCGTCGGCAGTCAAGATAATAATATAAGATACAATTTTTACACCCCTAACATTGATTTGTCTTATTTATTTTTTTTAAGTCTACATGTTGATGTTGACGACTGCTACAAGTCGTTGACACTGGACGGCCAAATTAAAAATATAATACGATAAGTAAAAATAATAATAAAATAATCAATAATATTTCGTTGATAGCTATAGCCATTGTTTTGCCTTCTATTAGTTCTATCTACAATGACTAATGACTCATTACTGAACTAAGATTTTGATGGCTTTTGCATTTTTTTATTTCTTAAAGTCCTATACAGTTTAAACCAAAAACTAAATTTGTTTCGTGGTATAACAATTTAGAATATATAATTTTTATTTTGCATTTTTTGTATTTTTAAGCTCATTTTTACAAATATTACATTTATATTGTGTATTTAACCTAACTTTTATTTATTTTAAGTTTTTTTAATGTGTGTTGTACCCATAGGTAATTTCAATTAGTACCTATGGTTTTTTTTTGGTTCATTAGTTTTTATTCGTTCTGTTACATAAAAAAAGAACAATAAGAACAATTGATGGTAAATAATATAAGATTAATACCTATAGTACTCTTATAAAAATAGTATCTTTAAACTTTTATCGACAACATACCATAATATCATCGCTGTTTCACCCGTTTTCTATAAAATTATTGTCACCTGTCGGCGAATCGGGAAAATTGAAACTTTATTAACAGAATAATATCAAAAGTATTTTAAAACTGGTATTTTTGTAGGCAAACTGAGTTGTCAGCGAATTGGGATTTGGCAAAATGGGTATGAATAGAAAAAATAATATAATTAATTAAACTCTCAAGTCAACTCAAATTTAAATATAATTTTTTTATTTACTTCTTAAAATAAATGTTTACCTTTTTTGTGTAGTATAAAAAATGAATGAATAATAAGTAATAATAAATAATAATATTTATTTTTGAATTACATTTTTTTCGCTCGTACATTTTTTGATAATTTTTTAAGGTTTTTAGGTTATTTCGAATTTTTTCAGTGCATTGTTCAGGTCGTTAAAAAATAAGATCAATGGTAAGGACAACAAAATACGATTTGTGAAAATTAAATCGTATAGCGCTGCGATGTAGTGATTATACTAAATCATCAGGGCGAAATAAAATGTCTCTATAGTTCATCGTTAGAGAACGTTGCTTATACCATTTTAGTATTTTACGCTCAAGAATTCCCCTCAGCCACTAAGATGGAAAACAAAAACTCGACTACTCGCTTATGAGTCGTTAATGCCCACTGATCATATAGCAACTACATAAACACGAATCTCGTGATTACACCATGTTTTCATGGGTGGTTAACGAACAATACATCGTGTTCGGTTCAGGAAAAAGACAATTAGACATAATAGACAACCGAGCTGGTGGCACACCACCGGTGAACTTGGTGATTCGCACCAGGATTTCGCGAGGAGGAACAGGACTTCTATTTGAAACATCAAGGCCCACCGCGCTATTTAAGGAATAACAGTTTCGTGTTCGAACATCTTCCCCCCTGAAAGCCTTTTCTCACACAAAATATCTGGAGAATCGGAAACTAAGACCCACAAAGACGTATAAAGATTAGTTGTTAGCTGCCGGTGTCATACGGTAGCCCAAGTCGTAACGTAAGTGGCTTACATATTTTTTTAAAATACAATTAAAAATACAATAATTCATTTGAAAATTATGTATTATGTTTCGTAATAATAGTAATACTATTAATAAATCAAAAATAATATCACCCACATTTGAAAACAACATGGTATATTATCGTTGAGTACCCCTTAAACCATCGCCGACCGACCTTAAGCACAAGCTACCAAGCATAAATACCGCAGAACAAAAGAACGTGTTGGTGCCACAAACTTGGTGGTGCGGTGGATCAAATGATTCAGTCTTAAAGTGTGTCCGAACTCTCAATGGATAGTACAGTGCTAATATAAACATTAATGTCACCGCAATTCAAAAGTGAAAAAAATATTAAAAATTTCAAATTTTTTTTTTTTGCTTCAACGCATAGATCGTCGTTCACATAAAAAGATAAACCCAATTTGGATGATCAAAATACAATGCTTCTACTTTAAATTATATTATTTTAGTATTATTGTGACAACGAACACTACTGAATAATATATTCTATTGTGCAGTTTAAACCATAATGCTCTTATAATACATTAACATACAGGCCCATAAAGAATATCGCAGTGGATTCACAATAATATTTCGTCCGAATTCAAGATCCGGTCACTGTCCTCCGCCAACTGGATGCATTTATAGTTTTTAATGAGCTGAAATATGCAGGCCCGACTAAAATCAAGTTGGAAAGTCGTGATTTCACCGCCGGTCTGCAGGCATTGTGGACTGTGGTGCATATGACTTTAGCTGGTGATACACTCGTCACCGCGGATTTGGACTAAAACGAACCCGCCGTTGCACCTGGCCAAGATGTCATTATCAACGACATCTACATAATAATAATATATTCACATGTCATGTCCCGTCTCCTGCCTTGACCAAGTGTGCGTCCAAGTTGAGTGAAGTGCCAGCCATGTCGCTATATGTCGCGACAACCGTTCTTGTATAGCATCACGAATTATTTTATTAATTACACTGACGTTTTATGGCCGTTTTTGTTGCATTGCATGTCTGATGTCCGCGGTCGCCGTAACCGTAAGTGTCATCTTAATTTCAATGTGCATTCGTATTTTGTTGTGACGCATTCCGCCTTGAGCGTCACTGTAGTGCTCTCGTAAAATTATACATTTTTAGGCTTGTATGTAGGATGTCACGTTTCTTTGCGTTCCGTATCGCTGTGTTCTTGCACGCCGTTGTTAATTGTTATGTAGTGACAAGTAAAATCCGCCCTTTTCCGTTCACGCATCCTGTATACCATGGTTTAGTGATATACAACTGTCGTGTTGCGTTTTCGTCCTTTGTCGAGTCGGTCACGGTGTAACAGGATAGTCATGGTATCGGCCCACTGAGTTTCATTAAATTATATATTTCTATACTTATGTTTGTACTCATTTCTCATTATCATAAAAAGAAAAAGTTACCACTTAACACTCATAACTGGCCCATATTTTGAGTGGCCCACCTATATTTTCTTGGCAGCTGCCGATCGGACTCCGACCATTGCCCGAATTGTTGAATGTCGTTCAATATATTCTTCTGCAGATGTATCCTGGGCGTTTTGTTTCATTCGAGGGTGTCAGACTGTCAGCCTAATATCTGCCCTCATATCACGATACATATTGTAACATAGTACAAAATATTATATTTAATTTTTTAAATATTGGTTAGTAGTTACATAAATGATAAACAAATTATTATATTACTACGAGACATTCCTTGTTTTTACGACGAACCAGTGAGATAAAAGTAATTTCAGCACGCCAAAAGTCCGAATTTAAATGGTTCATAACGTATATTCCTATGATACAATTATAGTATAGTTGTTCGATATTTTATTTTCATATCAACACTATCTCTAATTGTTCCCATTACCGTTATAATGAGCTCGTTAACCGAGTCAAATAATAAAACGATTTTCCGTTATCTGTGTTCAGTTGAACAACCAAGTGCGATCGTGTAACCTATGTGTCTATACGTACATTAAATTATCAATATTAAGCAAAATAATTCAAAACCAAGTATGGAAGATCACAATGTAATAGATAAGTTTAATAATTACACGATTTTAAAACATTTGTAGCTGTATAATTTAGCAGTATAAAAAACACTAATCTATTAATATTTACAAATTCAAGAACAGATATAACTTTTTTGTAACTCGTAGTAACTTTACAGTTTGATATTTTAATTATAGTATGAATACGTATCTTTTTATTCGTATACATATGGTATTCCGAAAATGTCCGATGTATCTTAATTTTAATTTTCTTCTTATCTGGTCCAAGTCATGAAGAATCAAATACCAACTATACATATATGGAATTGTTTTGTAAATTGAGGGGAAATAATATTTTAATTACTCAAGCGAGTTCAAATGATAGAAGAGATTTTTTAATGAACATATTAAAAAAAAAATATGAACGACATTCATGGTCAGAGAGTTACGAAGATAATATAAAATCATTAATACGAAATTTTAGTGTTATATTAGTACGAAAATGGAGAGCTAGCAATAGTACATTTAATATGTTTGCAAAAAAAAATGCTTTATGGTTGCAAAAACAGTTTGAAATTCCAAATCAATATATTAAAAAAATTAAAGAAAAGGTAGGGAGACAAAGAAAATTGTTTACAGAAAGTTCAATTCGAGGTAAGCAGCGTAAATCATCGGCAATAGGTAAAATATGCAAAACTCCAGTAATAACATTTGTAGTGAAATCAAAATTGTATAAGAGTGGAAAGAGAACGTTAGCTAAACTATTTGAAGAAGGTGCGTCTACTCCAAAAATAGGATTGAAAATGAAGAAAGCTTTAAAAACTAAAAAAGTTATTCCTTTTTCACCACAGGAAGCCTTAGCATTTATTTTAGATAACAAACTTCTTCTCCAACTTCAATGTGTGAACAACAACGAAAAAATTGTACTTTGGTCTAATCCTAGATATTCTTCCACTCGTTTTTGTCGACCGTTAAAATTTATTTTTATGAAAGAAAGTATAATGATAAAACAATCGAAATGTATACAGAAATTGAAGATGAAATATCTAGATTAACTGATACAATAATTTATATTAATGATATATCAATTATAAGCATAAAGCATACACTAATTTTTTCAATGATTGATGGCAAGGTAATGTTATTTATTTTATAAATGTATAGCTTATTTTTAAATAATATTTGTATCCTCAGGTTTGTAGTGCAGTCACAAATACATCATGTCAAACATGTTACATAATATGTGGATGTAAACCGTCACAAATGAATAATTTATATCAAGTTTTCGAGCGACCGATTAAAACGGAAAACTTTAAATTTGGATTATCTGTGTTACATGCTCATATACGACTTTTAGAATGCCTTTTACACGTGGCTTATCGTATAGAAATAAAAACGTGGCGAGTATGTACATAAAACTATTTAACTATTTAAATTATATATAGAGTAATGAAATTGTATTTTTTAAGGTTAGTTCATTAGTACATAAACAACAAGTAGCGGCAAAAAAAAGCATATCCAAGAAAAGTTTCGATCGGAAATGTTACCTATAGATATGGTATTACAAGGTATTAGATATATTTAAAAAAATCAGTTCAAATCAAATTTTTAATATCAGTAGCTAATTTATTTTATTTTTGTCATTTAGGTTCTGGCACAACTAATGACGGAAATACTGCTAGAAAATTTTTCCAGGAGCCTAGTAAATCTGCACAAATCACTGGAGTCGATGAAAATCTTATCACTAGATTTTGTTGTATTTTAACTACCATATCTTGTGGTCATAAAATAAATCATCAAAAATTTGATGATTACGCTAAAGAAACAGCAAGATTGTTTGTGCATTTATATCCGTGGTTTTATTTACCAGCAAGTGTTCACAAAGTGTTAATTCACGGAGGAGATATTATTCGTGCTGCTCTGTTACCAATAGGTGGATAATTTCAAAATTTTACTAAAATATATAATTCTACTAATATTTAAAAATGTAAATACGTAATAACCTATTTTTTGGTAATAGGTCAATTATCTGAAGAAGCTGCTGAAGCATGTAACAAAGAGTATAAAAGACTGAGACTTCATCACACTCGAAAATCATCCCGCATAAATAGCAATACTGATCTTTTCCAAATGATGTTAGTGTCATCTGACCCACTAATTTCATCCCTTCGGAAGACATGTAAAAAGAAAATATATAAGCTTTCTCCAGAAGTTAAATCTTTGTTGGATTTTGAATCCGAAGATGAGGAAAATTGTTCAAACAGTGATACCGATGAACCCGGTGAAAATAGTGACTTAGAGTTGGATATAAGCAGTCTAAGCATGTAGATAGTTTGTATTTGGATTTTTGTTAAAATAATGAATAATAATACCTAATAAAATGTGTATTAAAATAATTTTGGCGTGCTAAAATTTCTTTTATCCCACTGTGGCGCGCGTTTTTGTTACCATATTTTTGAGGGCCACACCACACGCTCTCTGACGACCGCGATTGGATGACCGTGTTATT